GAAATGTGGTGGAGGAGGTTGTGGGAAAAGAAAATATTGTGGAGAAGCAGGAAGTGGGGAAAAGAAGACTTGAGATGGAATCCTTTGGGACCATTATCCAGATGATTGATCTAAGTAACTCGTAATGATGCATCGGCGGAACCAATGAATCCACTTTGGACACGGATTCATCGGTTGCTTTGATGCATTATAATTGGAATGATCTCGGGTCACCGATCCTGATCCGGAACATCCCTAAAGAACGCAACCTTATGCGGTTACTTTCCTCCCAATTCTTGCACTAGGCTAAGGCGAAAAAAAAAACAACTCGCCGTTAAATCCACTTTTTCTTCATCTCAGTTAGACAGTCAGACCCTTTATAAAAAATGCATTTCGTCGCTATTTTAGACTCAGGTCCGCGGTGCTACGAATGTACAGATCCTGTAAAGTTTGAGGAATGCGCAGTAGGTCGGTGCATTTTCAACGATGGCAAGTGTTTTTACTCTGGAAAGCAACAAGATCCCTTTATTTACAATAAATATGGATGCATTCAACCACAATATTGCAATAAAATCGCGAAGGATGGAAACTTAATGCACTGCTGCGAAGGAAGTTTATGCAAGAAAGGTTAGTAAAAGAGAAATACTATATTTTTTAGTATGCCAAAGGCGTGTAAAAAAAAAATAATTTGCGTTTGTCATTCGCCACTTTAGCATCGAGAAGGGAACTGGGCCGAGTTAATTTTCGCAAAGACTTTTGGGACTGTTACTGGGAACAGTGACAGCAACAATCCCAGAAGGCTTTGCGAAAGTTATTTCGGCCCAATCTCCTCGTTTCTAAAGTGGTGGAGTGCACTATTCCTAAGGTGTTCTTACAGTGGATTGGATAACGATATGCATAGGGGACAAAAGGCCTGCTGACACCTAGGGGCGGGGGAGAGTACTCTGACCAAAGTTTTGTACAGGGAGGCTCCTCCCCAAGGTCCAACCCCTCACCCTTTAATATGCCATTTTCGTATACTTTCCATTGACAGATGGTAGTACCCCTTTCACATACCTAGTTTACAACTTACTTAAAATCGTGTCAAACAAATATGTCTCTAAGCATCATATCAAACGTTACAAAAAACAAAAATGAACTTTGGCGAACTCTTAGCGGCTTACAGTTGTAAAGCCGTTTCAATCTTCTTCAAGTTTGCCCATCCGTTTCTCCTTTTGTATTTGCTATGTTATCGATATCGTCAAGTTTTCATGTTTTCCGATGTTTTGAGCGGTTTATTTTATGTTTTACTCCGTTTGGTGATGGTTCCCACTGTTTGAATTTTGATTAATTTAGGGTCACAGCTTCTTTAACTATTGCTTTGTGACCACATATTTTACTATTTTCTTTTCTGTTTCAATGCAAAATTCGGATCAATTCAGGTTTCTAGGAAACTGCCCACCTACCCCTCCCCTAAGCCAAAATTATCACTTACTTCTTCTCTCTTAGGGCAAAATGTTGGCTTAGGGGAGGGATAGGTGGGCAGTTTCCCAGGAACCTAAATTGATCCCAAAATTCCACAGTTAGCAAACCCAGGAGTATGGTGATTCCCTTATCTGTTGGTGCTGCCTTCGCTGCGTTGCTGTTGGGTGCTGCTATTTTCATCTGGTGCTACAGGAGGAGGAGACGACAAAAGGAGGTTTATGGGTTTGTACAGTTCTACGTGCTTACCACATAATCTCCATAATCTCCATAATCTGGAGCGAGCAACTTCCATGCCCTTGTGTGACGGCGTTTTAACGGACCAGTTTATTTTTCGAACGGTTTTGGCACGAATTTTGATTATCTTTTAAATTTCACAAACCAGTCAGCAAAACCTACAGACCTAAAAATGATATTTTCTGTCTTTGTATACATTTAGTTTCCCTTTTTTGATATCTTATACTTCGAATGCGCTCATAGATATGGTGGAGATTTAATTTTCGAGGGAAAAAGTGCCCTAAAATGTGTCTAAAAATAAACTGATCCGTTAAAACGCCGTGACATAGGCCTAGTATGGGAGTTGGTCGCTCCGGGTTATGGGCTATTATATGCTAAAATTACGACACCTATGTTTACGTAATGTAGTACATTATTGGTACTTAATTTCGCGGGTAGTAAATTCGAGATTTTGACGAGACAGTATTTCGCGGGGTTTTATTTTCGCGATTTCAATAGGCAACTACGGAAAAAGGGCGTTAAATTTCGCGATTCACTCGTTCTCAACTTTATTATATTTTTCAAAAAGTCTGAACTATTTATAATTTCTAGATAAAGGATTTATACGACTCTAGAGACTCAGATCAAGATGATAGTTAGTAAGGTTCCCTAACGGCATATGTAAAATCTTTACAAATTAACGTAACGTTTTATCACAACATATGATACAAAGTGGAACTTACCAGTAAAATCAGTTAACAATTTGCTTATTTGTCGATACATATCCTCGCATATGTAGGTGTTACTGCACGTTAATATATTTTTTCTGGGATTTAAATTGTCCATATGAATATTAAAGTTCGCGTGTTTTATTCACGGGTCTTTAATTTCGCGATTTTTCTACAATCGCGAAAAACGCGAAATTTAAGACCAATTAGGTACTGAACTTGATTGCTAATCTCGTACCCAGATCTCCCTCGTCTTACGCTGAACCCTTGACCTTGAGATATCTGGGGACGAGATTATCTGATTGCAGAAGAAAGATTGTTTTATTGTCTTCCTTTTTTTTTTTTCAGAGCATATCTTTTACAGCGACCGATCAATCCCCTGGACGAGTGGGAAATTCTTCGCGAGCAAATAGAATACGAAGAGGAGCTGGGGCGAGGAGCATTTGGTGTAGTTTACAAAGCAATGCTTTGGGAAAGAGTTGGGATAGAGGTGTTTAGCACCGAGATTTCAAAACGGAAACTGTTGTCCAGCAAGAAGCCTCGGCTGGTTGCTGTCAAGGTTTTACTTGGTGAGACAATCTCTTACTACTCATGCTTGGTATGCTCACACCAAGGTATGCCTGGTATGCTCATTTCATAACAAAAGATTCACGTTTACCGCTAACGGCAACCGTCAGACAAGTTCATTTGCTTTATGGAATAGCCACAACTCAGCAATAACAATAATAATAATAATTTTGCTTGAAAAGAGCAATAAATTATATCAGCAAGGATCGGAGGCATGGAACCGTGTTTTGAACTTCGTGGGCAGTGCGGCGAAAGGAGGTGCGATTTTTTCCCTCTTTTGTTTGCTGTTCCTTTTCAATATATTAATCATCGTCTGAAAATGAGCTTTCTTTTGTTTGATTTAAATCACACAAGTAAACAGCGCGTTCATATTAGAGAATTTACGCTCGAAGCGCGAGAATTTTGCTTGAAAAGAGCAATAAATTAGTTTTAAAGGGTCGGGGACACAGAACCGTGTTTTAAGTTTCGCTGGCAGTGAGGTGGAAGGTATTATTTTGTTTCTTTACTATTTACTCACGCTCTTCAATGCATTCAATGGGATGTGATTTTTATTCAAAGAAGTTAATTTCTGTTCAAACAAACGACCGTAAAATATAACCGTCATTTAACCGAAGGATAAAATTTCCTGGCGCAGAATTCAAACAGTGCGAACTCGGCAACAGAATATAAAGCGGGCTGTTAAAACCACTGATCAGAGCGCCGCGATCAAACCACCTGAATTAATTGCAAGTTCTCGGCTCCTTCGATTCAATCCCTAGTTAAAGTTCCTTATAATTGCTACTACGATTTTTGCCATAAAAAATGAAGTATGTTTTCTTAAAATTTGCAGCCAATACGCGAAGCGCAAGATAAGCAATACGATTCGGGTTTGTTCGTCCCAAATCTCGTCTGTTCGAAACTTGCCTCACTCCTCACTACTGCGTCGTCCGTTTCGCCAGTCAACTAACACTCCTACCTACCCCCTAAGGTGAAATTGCTCCTTACTTCGGTCCCGCCGAAAATTCAAATCTCATCGGAAAGAAGTTATCGGTAATGTTGAAATTTGCTGCGCGTAAAAGCTATTGTTTCACATTGCTCGTTTTTGTCCTTAAAAGACAAGAAACGGCCAAAAATAACAATACGAAACAATACCTATTGTTCTCGAATTCAGGTCGCTTTTCTCGATACGAAAATAGGCAGATAAAAACAGTCCCGAACGATTCCTATGGTTAAAACGGACATAAAACTACTTATTTCTGTGTAGAAGACATAGAGAGTAAACGGAAAATACGGGGATAACTTGGTCACGTGGTACAAATTCACGTCTGCCGTTTAGCGTAAACGTGAATCTTAATCTCTCTATTGACACCTAACATTGTGGGTGACATGATCCATATGGTTGGGTTGGCCACTTTACAAACGAGAAGCAAACCAGGCCCAGTTAACTTTCGCCTAGGGAAAGTAGCAACTACGACGGCGACGGCAACGGGGACGTCAAAAAAGCAATAGGTTTGTTGAGTAAAACAACAACTCTGCACGTGCATCGCGCTTTTTTGTACATTTCTTTACCGTCTTAGCACGACTAGGACGTGAAAATGCCTAATTGCAAGTTTTATGGAGGACGTAAACAAGCGACGACGAATCTATTTTTCTCTCTCTAAACTTGAGTGCGGTCCCCAAGAAATCAACTCCAGGGAAATTCGGCTACATTTGCCATTTTCAGCAAATTGGAATAAACGCGACAAAGAATGATAAGACGGGAATTTTTGTTTAAAAGTGACGTTTTCGCTGCCGTTGCCGTCTTCGATGCTAGGACTCCCTAGTTACTGGGGACAGGGGAAAAAATAGACCAATAGCTGACTTGCACGTCTCCAATAACGATCCCAGAAGCCTTTGCGAAAGCTAACTCGGCCCAGTCTCCTCTTCGTTTCTAAAGTTGAAGTCGAATTTAACAGAAAAAGTACCGCGCCAGTTCGTTCTGATGTGTTTAGATAATCCTAGCGCAGCACAGAAAGAAGAATTCCAGTTTGAGATCGAGCAGATGAAGCAGTTGGGTTCACATCCGAACGTTGTTTCCTTGGTTGGTTGCTGCACGCTTCAGGAAGAAAAGTTCCTGGTGATAGAGTATGTTCCTTTTGGGGATCTGCTGACATGGTTACGCCGTAGAAGGAACAGGGTGAGAAAATGAAGAAAATTCTACAATGTACTTTGACGAAGGGTTACTGAAGGAAAATAGAAAAACGATTCGTCTCTTAAGAAACGAGAAGGGACATTCCTGGTTTTCCCCTTTTTCGAATGAGAAATATTAAGCATTTTAGCGTTATTTCCCTCTTATTTCTTCCGCTTCCCACCCTACTGGAGCACCTGCCTCCCACCCTTTCCTCTCCCACTTTCCGTACCCCGCCTGCCCCTTATTCTCCTGGCTTCGCACCCCACTTGTCCTCCTCAATTTCTATCTCCGAGTTCTCATTAGCCTGCGTGAAAGGCGTTTGAAAAGGAAGGAAAAGCACGCAGGCTAAGTTCTCATTTCAGAACGCTATGTAGCTAAGCTGAGCTAGAAGCTTTGGCTTGGATCCGTTATAACTAGTACGTTTTGTTGTGGCAACAAAATATAACGTTATACGTAGCATGAGAGTAGTCAAAGCGAGGTGTTTTCACTCTTTGATGTTGCTGAATCTTGTAGATCTACACAAGCCAAGCCTCCAACAAAGTATACGACGACAAAGTGNTCGAATTTAACAGAAAAAGTACCGCGCCAGTTCGTTCTGATGTGTTTAGATAATCCTAGCGCAGCACAGAAAGAAGAATTCCAGTTTGAGATCGAGCAGATGAAGCAGTTGGGTTCACATCCGAACGTTGTTTCCTTGGTTGGTTGCTGCACGCTTCAGGAAGAAAAGTTCCTGGTGATAGAGTATGTTCCTTTTGGGGATCTGCTGACATGGTTACGCCGTAGAAGGAACAGGGTGAGAAAATGAAGAAAATTCTACAATGTACTTTGACGAAGGGTTACTGAAGGAAAATAGAAAAACGATTCGTCTCTTAAGAAACGAGAAGGGACATTCCTGGTTTTCCCCTTTTTCGAATGAGAAATATTAAGCATTTTAGCGTTATTTCCCTCTTATTTCTTCCGCTTCCCACCCTACTGGAGCACCTGCCTCCCACCCTTTCCTCTCCCACTTTCCGTACCCCGCCTGCCCCTTATTCTCCTGGCTTCGCACCCCACTTGTCCTCCTCAATTTCTATCTCCGAGTTCTCATTAGCCTGCGTGAAAGGCGTTTGAAAAGGAAGGAAAAGCACGCAGGCTAAGTTCTCATTTCAGAACGCTATGTAGCTAAGCTGAGCTAGAAGCTTTGGCTTGGATCCGTTATAACTAGTACGTTTTGTTGTGGCAACAAAATATAACGTTATACGTAGCATGAGAGTAGTCAAAGCGAGGTGTTTTCACTCTTTGATGTTGCTGAATCTTGTAGATCTACACAAGCCAAGCCTCCAACAAAGTATACGACGACAAAGTGTGTTTGAAAGATGAAGGAAACGCCAAAAATCAGGTAGGGGTAAACTAAACGCTATGTTTGAGTTGTCTTTAAACTGCTGTCAAATCAAATGTCAAATCACATGATTTGATACCAATAAGGAACATGTCCAGGAGGACAATAAAACGATTTTTGTATGCGATAAACATGGCTTTGCCTATTGATTGGTTTTGGCAGATCATGACCCGAGCCGGGCATATCCGTTCTTTTCTCGTCGGTGCCGTTTAAAGACCGTTTCCGCGTGCTCGTCACCCGCCACAGCACCCTACAGCCCGTAATATAAAAGAGTATTAAAGTTACCGCATATGATATGACAGTTTAAAAAGCAGCATTGGCCAGGCTACGACATCAAACGTCAGTTGGCTTTCTGACAACTCAGCTCTGTAAACCAAGAGAGAATTATATGGGACAGAAAGGGCATCTTAGGACGTTGGTCGGGATATGTAAATTTCACTAAAGTTATTTTTAGAGGTTGTAATTTGAGGGAAGTCTAGTTCCTGGGCGTCCGCATATTTTAATGGATTGTTTGAAACGACATGAAGTCCCTCTCCGTCTGCCTCAAAGCAAAAATGCAGAATATAGAATGGTGACTGTTGAATTCACTTTTAATAACACTAATTTTTAAAAACTGAATCATTGGATAATGTAATTCTAGAGCTCTGACTGGCTTAGCCATCATGGTATATATACCTCTTATTAGCCGAGTTTTCGGTCCGTACTGTAAATTACGGACCGAGTTTTTTTCCATCGATTTATGGCTTCTTCCTGTTTGGGGGACCGGAAACAAGTGCAGGACGCACGATTTGACAGTCATTTGACAGGTGTCAAAAAAGAAAGTTTTTATTGGCGCACGAAAACAATAGCACATAACAAAGGCTTTCCGANTTTTCTCGTCGGTGCCGTTTAAAGACCGTTTCCGCGTGCTCGTCACCCGCCACAGCACCCTACAGCCCGTAATATAAAAGAGTATTAAAGTTACCGCATATGATATGACAGTTTAAAAAGCAGCATTGGCCAGGCTACGACATCAAACGTCAGTTGGCTTTCTGACAACTCAGCTCTGTAAACCAAGAGAGAATTATATGGGACAGAAAGGGCATCTTAGGACGTTGGTCGGGATATGTAAATTTCACTAAAGTTATTTTTAGAGGTTGTAATTTGAGGGAAGTCTAGTTCCTGGGCGTCCGCATATTTTAATGGATTGTTTGAAACGACATGAAGTCCCTCTCCGTCTGCCTCAAAGCAAAAATGCAGAATATAGAATGGTGACTGTTGAATTCACTTTTAATAACACTAATTTTTAAAAACTGAATCATTGGATAATGTAATTCTAGAGCTCTGACTGGCTTAGCCATCATGGTATATATACCTCTTATTAGCCGAGTTTTCGGTCCGTACTGTAAATTACGGACCGAGTTTTTTTCCATCGATTTATGGCTTCTTCCTGTTTGGGGGACCGGAAACAAGTGCAGGACGCACGATTTGACAGTCATTTGACAGGTGTCAAAAAAGAAAGTTTTTATTGGCGCACGAAAACAATAGCACATAACAAAGGCTTTCCGAGAAAGTAAAAACAAATTCGCCATGTTGAAAAAGTTGATTCGGTCAAAACTAAGAGCACTGTACGTTTTAGCTCTTTAATGTAACGCTGGAGTATTTTGGAAACTGGACAATCTGTCTAGAAGTCGTTCCATCTTTCCTCCGTTTGTACTTGTGAAAAAACACTGCAAAAGGCAAAGAAGCTTTTCAAGGTAAGTCTGTTGTCATTGTCGAAGGAAGCGCTCGTTAATTGTTTTTGGGAAAACCTCTCTTTCTGCCAGTTCATTCTCTTCTTCAGTATGTGATCTGCGTTAACATTTTCAAACACTGACTAGAATTCTCTTCCTCCGTAAGGTTACGATTCAGTTTCTACAACAGCTTCGTTCTCATTAAAACAAAGCTAGGTTAAAATTTGGAAAGGCAAAGTCAACATCCCAATCCTCAGGGTCATCAGGGTTAACAGACATATTTTAAATTTTGTTCGGTCGAAACTAAGAGCACTGTAAGTATTCACTCGTTAATGTAATGGAGTTTTTTGAAAACTGGACATTATTGTGTCTGGCTCGAACTCGCTTCTATCTTTCTTTCGTTGGTCTTTGAAAAAAAACACTGCAAATGGCAAAGAAGCTTGTCAAGATGATTGGGTGCAGGTATGTTTGTTATCATATTTGTTTAAGGAATTACTCATTTTCTCTTAGGCAAAACATCTCGAATCTCTGCCAGTCGATTTTCGTCTTCTTAATTGTGTACTACGATAAAATTTTCAAACACTGACTAGAATCCTCTTCGATGAGATTACGAGTTAGTTTCTTCATCACCTTCGTTCACAAATAAACACAGTTTAAAATGCTGAATGCCAAAGTCAACATCCAAGTCCTCAAGGTTTACAGGCGTCTTAAAACTTTATTTAAACCTTTTTTTCCGAGGTAAAGAGAATTAGAGCTCCGAAATGAGCATTTTCTTTTACAATTTTGGTCCGTATAGCAAGTTACGGACCGCAAATTGACCAATCGCATTGCGAAAACAGACTCAGCCATATAATAAGAGCCATTATACCACGCTCTCCAAATACTGTACGCGTCTGCTCAAAATTAAAAACGAGCCGAAAATCGGTTGTTTTTACAAATAAAGTCGGGAAGGATTCTCGATATTTTGTGGGCGTTTTTAAAAAAAACAATTATTCCACTCGCGCTTGTTGCATATGAGATGATTATAGCCAACACGGTGCTAGGCGTCTCGTCGGCTATCTACCAGCTCATATCCGACGCGCACTTGTGGAATAATTGTTAATTATTTCATTCTTTAATCAGAAAAGATTGCCCGAAATCCTTGTGCGATATAGTTGGACAGACCTCGCCGTGAAAGCTGTGCTGTGATCCCTTAACTGGAAAAAGTGACCTTGGATGGCCTGGATTCAAAGCGTCCTTCCAAGTAGTCCCCAAATACGTAATCTGGTTTTCATTTAATTATACCCTGTAATCTTTGTTTTTTCTCTCTAAGGTGCAAGATAAAGAAGAGGAGAAACAAGTGAGTACGGAAGTTTCTCCTTTATTACAAGATGACAAAATGTAAAAAAGAAAGGCATGACCATTTTATAAACTGACTAAAATTTGGTGACCCTTTCCTTGAAAGAGCTAAAAAACTTCTCTCATTGTCTAATTCAACCCTATCGGCTCTACCTCTGCAGGATGAGGAATTCAAAACCATTGACGAAGACCAGCCAACAGCCCCTTCCGCGCCAATGGAGAATCAAATGACGAAGGGAGCGGTAATAATTAATTAGTTTTTTCATTATATAGCTTTTTCTTTTAAGGGCTACACCTCTTTTACTGTCACTTAAAATTTTTTTTATGATTCCCTTGAGGTAGTCGAGAAAGTCGCAGACAAATAATCGACTGCTGAGTAAGCCTCAGTTTCATAGAATCGTTTAAGCCGCCCTCAGTTAACAACGTGTTATACTACAGATCCTATAATCGAAGCAACCTTTTTACTAACACCCTGAAAAATTATCTTAAAAGTTGGGATCATATATGGAACGGGTAAAGTTTCCAGCGATGTAAAATATTTTTGATTATCACAGCAGGAGAGATTCAAATCCCCTTGTCTCAAATCCTTGGGGAAAGTGGTGGCATAATTAATGTAAGAGGATGGTGCATGTCAGGTCGATGATATTTTTTCCGCTACATCAATGTCCGGTAAAAAAAGTTACAATGGTGTAAAAACAACTTTGTTTTTAGCCTGAGAAAACAGCTGACATTTCACGACGCCATCACTGGTTTCCCCGCGAAATAACGTCTGAGAAACGAACGCAGAGATTCCATACCGATGATGCGTCACTGCCCAGATCTGGGTAATACTTCTGATTGGTTGGAGGAAATTTTCAGCCAATCAGACGCACCACCAGATCTGGGCAGTGATGCATCATCAGTACGGAATTTTTGCGCTCATTTCTCAGATGTCATTTCGCCGGTATCGCCTAATGTCAACTGTTTTCACAGGCTACTTTGTTTTCGGATTTTGATTTCACACAGGAAATCAGGAATGCTAATCAACAGGTAGAGCAAGAGCAGACACAAACGAACGTGGAAATGACTCTATTATCGCAAGATGACAGTGACGTGAACAGAGAGGACACGCCGGTGACCTTAAAATTCGTTTCATTTTATTAATATGCAAGATTACCCAACATTTAGTCTTAACTTACCGTTTTTGAGAAGGTGGTTATTGGAAACAAAACAAAACAAATAAACAAACAAACATAACTCTGCCATTTTGTTCATATATTTAGAAAGATAGGTACACTTTTATGGAGGAAATAAACAAAGCTGATAACCTTTCTTTACAATACACCTCTGTAGTTTCGGCATATTTTTAAAGCAAAGCGAGCCGCTGCATAACAACTTTCAAAGGCCACAGCCGTCTATTACCTAATATTCGATCAGGAGCCATAATCGGGGTAGGAGATCGTAACTGGATACCTTCTCCAGTAATGCGGTTTGTTCCATCGAAATAGCCAAATGTGCACATTTTTCGCGGGGGCACCGCACAAAGGATAAACCAACAAAATGGCGTGAGAAATTACCTTCGTAGGAAATGAATAAATTCTATTCCTGTCCTCTCCCCTAACTCTGAATTTGAGGCAAGACCTTGAGGATAACCTCTTTGACAATAACTCTGAATAAGAGGACTGTAAATGTAGTTCTGATCATGTTAATCACCGTAGTTGGAGTGTTTTTGACAAATCATGTTACTAAGAGATGTCGGAGATGTCGCGCGATGAACATCGCGTTTGGACGAAACGAAAAAAATTGCAGGGAAAAGGAGGGCGGAAAGTTGACAACAACAACAAATAATTGTGTCTAATTTTCCTCAAATGTTTCTTTGAATTCATGAAAAATACAGCTCCACCAGCTTCAAACAGCGTCTAATGTAATAATTTTCCCATTTAGCTTGGCAGCTAGCGTGGCGCAGTGATCTAGGCCATGCAGATGGTCCGGGTTCGACTGGTCTCCTACTCCAATGGCTCCTGTAGTGATAAACAGATATACTATTTCCCAATTCTTTTTACGTCTTAGTTATTCAGCCGTGCAATTTATTGACAACAAAATAATCTACTGATGTTTATAAATAAACATTTTTTTTCTCAATTTTCATGTCCATTTGACCCATCCCAGACTACAAAACAGTCGTCAAAGGCACGAACTCGCGGCGTAAGATTCTCTCGAGAAGCGAGCCTCACACGGCTGAGAGGCGTCCATTCAGACCTTTCGTTTAGCGGCACCCCCGCGCTTTCCTTATCTACACAAAAATACGGGTTGTTTTCCATACTAGACCCTTCTTGACATGTTTTACTCAATTTGTGCATTTAGGATAACGGATTGAAGGAGTCCACAAAAGAACAGTTGAACATGTCAAACAACCCACCCGTTGAAAGTCAGCACACTGTCTCGAAGCCGCCTTCAAGTGAAAGTCTCGAGGAAGATCCACATGACGAGGAAGAAAGCTTTTCTACTCAACAGCTCTTTAAATTTGCATGGCAAATAGCGAGGGGAATGGTAGCTACTGTATTTGTTTACATTTTATCATATCCAACTTAAAAATGGACACTGATTTCAAAGGCGAACTGCATGGGGCAAATTGAGAAAGTAGAATTTCTTTACCGAAATTTACCTGCCTTTAAGAAAAGTATCAGGATTTCCGACAAAACCACTTTTGAGACCAAAACAGCCAAATCCGGCCATAAAATGCCGTAAAATTAAATCGGGTGAAAAAAATCAAAAGAAGAGTTTTAGGAAATGAGTTTTTCCTGGAGTCTTGGCATCTTGAAAGCAATCGCACGATCTGCCAACACTCTGTTTTACGCCCATTTCGGTTCCTTGAGCTCTTGGTTTTCTTCCAGAATAGCCTACCCTCTTTCCACATTTTTACACATTCACATATATTCCCTTGATGTACTCTCGTAGCATGAAGCCGACTTAATTCGAAAACCTCGAACGAAAATAAAGACATGATTCAAGTACCTAAACGTGATTTTTAAAACACTGAAAATACTAGTGGACCAGAAACCGCGATTGTACGATGGACAACAACTTAAGAGGACTGAGAAACAACTCAAGCATCGTCATACAAAACATTATGGGAAAATTGCAGATCAGACGCCAGACTTTCCGTGTTAAAAGTTATTGGCGCATTTTAATTCGCTGACCATAGTTAGTAGAGGAGACTGGTTGAAAAGCCGGCAAATATTAAAGTTGAAAACAACAGTGCGGTGGTTTACGTTAGAAGCTTCCTGACCGTGCATAATCCTTTGTTTTTTGTTCATAAATTGTGACTGAATAAATTAATGCGAAGTTTCTACTGGTCAGTAAGTTCAAAATGATAGGAATGTGATTGAGCATTGTGCACGGCCAGGTCCAGAAACAGTAACAAAAACGTATAATAAAGAGTATAAAGGGCTTAACAACCATTCCAATTTAATAACCATGGCCCAACTAAAATCACTTTGATTATCCTGTGATTATTTATTCTAAAAAATTTCAAAACACAGAGCAACAAGTTAAAGATAAAATCGAATATTTCGATCGAATTGTACGAACTTCATCAGAAATGTAAAATACCAGGTTATGTACCTGAAGGTTGTTATGCTCCCCAAGGAGAGGATTTTAGATGGCCGGGAGGTCCAGTCCCTCGTCCCTATTCACAGGGGGTTTTCTTTGTTCGGGTTTCCGTGATGGTGTTATTTTTGTCAGATAGAACTTTAACATTGTGTGGCTTGATGTTGCGACCGCCGTTGCTCGGCAGTGTTCAAAAACAGCAGAAGTTTCAAGGGGTTGGTGTTCTTTGATCTGGGTACAAAGGGATTTTGGAAGAATTCTGTATAAAAAGTTTGGCTTGTACAAAGTGTTGGTGTCTGAAATGACGGCTCTTCCTTGATTTAGTAAGCTGTTATTATGTGCTGCTAAAATCTGATTTCCCTTTCTCTACCTTTATAATTAGAATCATCTTGCCGAAAAAAACCTTGTTCATAGAGACCTTGCAGCTCGTAACGTCCTCGTTGGCTGTGACAATCGGGTGAAAGTGTCTGACTTTGGGTTGATGCGACAAATCTATGAAGATGTGAATAGCTCAGGAAAGTGTAAGAAACTTCCCATCAAATGGATGGCTCCAGAATCACTTTATCAAGGCACCTTTACCATCAAGAGTGATGTGTGAGTAGAATAATACTTTCAATTTAACGCTAGACTATAGATCTCATCGTAAGAGTCTCGTATGGATTAACTTACTTTTAATAGTCTTTTTCGAACTGACCTTTTCATCCCTGACGACCAACCTCGTCCCCAGGGCTTTTCCCTTAAAAAATGGGTGGGACGCCCCACCCATTTTTTAAGGAAAACGCCCTGGGGACGAGGTTACCCGGACGACGTATACGTATTATTTTCGTGGAATATCTTTGTAAGTTCTCGAACGCCATCTCATTATAGCAAAGTCTGGGTTCAAATTTTGGCAGCTGATTTACATTAGTAGGATTTTGAAGGCCTCTGTAAAACTAACCTAGAAAAGGCAAAGCATGAATGCCCCTCCACAAAATCTTCTTAGTCTTGGCCATCTGTCTGTATCGCTCAGTAACCGATTTTGTTGCTTTCTATTATAGCTGGTCCTACGGCGTACTTCTGTGGGAAATGGCCACACTGGGTAAGCATACTTAAAGATTTATTTACTTTAATTACAACTGCTTGCTTACTTTTCCTCGTTTCTAATAAAAAACACTGATTTATATGATTATTTTGGCCCAGGCCCCAGTTGTTCATTCCCATATTCCGTCTTCTCTAGCTCTCGCGCGTTTGCCTCTTAATAGGCCACTTCCAAGTTCCATAAACCTTCTCTTTCAAAATGAGGCTAGGTGCACAACGTTTCTTGTGAGAATAAGTTTTATTTGCATGAGAAAGAAAAAAAAAAAGATTTCCATATGAATGGCTGAGGACCTACCCTCGTTTTGAAAAAGAGGCCTGGGGGAACTCGGAAATGGCCTATTCCCTCACACTTGACATGCTCGCACGAAAGACAATAGGCCGTTTCAGGGTTGCCCTAAGCCACTGTTTCAAAGCGAGCTAAAGAAAGAAAGCTTTTGCACTCGTTTTGAAAGTGAGGGTTTTTGTGACTCGGAAATGGCCTATCCTGAGGGACTCTGCAGTCTTAAACCTGAACAAATACTGTGAAAACGGTTGTAAAAAACTTCCTGCCCAGTTTTTTTCTTAATAACTGATTTTCTTCTTGTGTGGGATCCAGGAGGCGTACCATACCCTACGATGACCAACACAGAGCTGTATCGCGAGCTCAACTCTGGATACCGAATGGAAAAACCTGACATGAGCTCGGATGAAGTGTAAGTTAATCGCTCCAGTGATTTTAGCATATGTTATTATGGCAGAATTATACACAATGTAGACAGGAAAAAAAATTACTTTAAAAATGCTTAGTACTTCTTTGCCCTTTAAATACGAACAGTTGTTTCCAAGGGTCAAGATCTCCTATTGTTCTCCCTAATCGCTCCGGGGCATGAAAAGGAAGCTCGGACCATGTGAACGAGGCTGTGGAGTTCGGCCACTGATGGTCAGTGACGATGTATATGGTTGGCTCCGCAAGCAAACAAAATGAAAAGAATCCCGCGGGAAATGAATTGCTCGCTTTCTTTTCAGAAGAAGAACAACCCCCCTCAGTCTTATTCTTGTGGAACAACGCAGACTCCTGTTTTTCTTCACAGTTAGTGGCGATGGGCCTATTAGCCTTTCACGCTTCAAGCCTCCTTTTGCCCGTGCGCCTGACCATATTTTCTGTAACTGCTGCTGTCATGCCGAATAAGGTTATCCAATAACGCTTTAATGTACCGTATATCGATTTTTAAGGATAATGAACCAAAAACCAAGAAGTGAGTTGAAAAATTAGGATCTCAGGATTAGTTCTATGACAGACTTTATAGTGTTTGGATACAACACCAGGTTAGTTTTCTTCAGCTGCCTGTACTCAACTGTACTAAACAACTAAAATGTGGTTGATTCTGTGATAAAAGTTTGTATAGTTACGATCTCTGGCCATTTCTCATCCAGCTACAGTCCCTGCCTCTCAATTTCCCTTCAATTACCGCGGAATGGCATGGGTTGTTATTTGCAGTACGTCCAGCTAGGCCTTATTAGGCTGATTTAGCAACAGAACAGGAACGTCTGTTGACGACTGCTCGCGCAAATCAAACAACTGAATTGACCAATGGCAGAGAGGCAAATTGGGTACCGGAAGTCGAGTTTAGTCCTTTCCGCGCGCTTACCCGTCGTCAAATGAGGTTCCCGTTCCTTTGCTAAATCAGCTTATTATTGCGCCAGGCCCATGCGTTTCGGGACAAGCGGTCCGAAAGAGTTTTTCTCGGACACGTCACCGAAATCCTTTGCATGACCAAGATAGGACTGGAAAGACACCGTTCAGGGATTAGGCAAATGTTGTATTTCCGAAATGAAAACATGACCACCGAGGAGCTTATTTGAAAGAATCTGACTCGTCCCCAGTCGCCTCTCTCTCTCTTTCTCCTTAGTTGCGCGATGGGTGTGATGGGAAGGAGGAAAGCGAGTGAGAGAGTCTTCCTCCCTTTTCCCTTCCCATCACCCCCTGCTTTCGACGCGCGCGTTAGGCGAAGACGACTGGGGACGAGTCAGTGAAAGAATTACAAATCGGTTTGTTTTTAATTGTCTACGACAGATATCAGTTGATGACAGACTGCTGGAAGGAAGAACCAAAAGCTCGACCCAGTTTCTACCAGCTGATAGAAAAACTGGAGATCATCATGCAGAAGGATGCACCATATTTGGATGTGAACAAGCATAATGAAGACCATCCATACTATAACGTGCCTCCACATCTGGAGTAACTGCTAATAAAGAACGCTACGTAGGGCCGGCGGTTTCTAATTAACCTCAACTTTTTATTAACTCGTCAACGGAGATTCCCTTTTCAAAATAGCCCCCTGATTAAACTTAACCGTACAGTATATGGCGCAATTAAACAATTTATGAGCTAAGAGTTTGCGTAACAACAACAACAAAAAATTAATGCAAAGTATTATGTGAGAATTTCAAAGTTTACAGTTCTGATTTTATGGCGATGATTATACATCATGTATGCGTATGAGTTCTAGTTGCGTTAGGTGTTCAAAATTTGATACTATGGAAGGAAGAGGGATTCAACATAGAAAGCTCCCTCGGAAAAATTGTCGATCTCCATAGGAGATCAGAGTCGAACGCACGACCCTCCTAGTTCTAGATCGGATACTCTAGGTACTGGGTTCTGGAGGTGCTACGGTGTTACGTGCTTGCAACGCAGGCCTATCTTGTGGGCCGGCCAAAGCTGTTTATTTATGTTCATATTACCGTGGACAAATGAGGAAAATTGGAGAGAATAGTAACAGCAACACTTGTGGTTTCCCTCGGAGTAGACGGTAGGGCAAAAGAAGGAGGCGGGGGATGGGGTGGGGAGAAGTCCTCCCTTTACCAGGGAGGGTTTCTTTCGTTTGAAGTCAATCCGGATTATTATCCCGCGTAGCTGTTGGTTCCTTTCCAAAGTGCACGGAGCGTGCAAATTAGGCATAGACGGATAGATTGACTGATAGATTGGATTTTCTCACAACAGACAAATCCAAAATCAGATTTCCTTTCCAAAATTTTTTCTTGGATCAGCTCTAAAAAACAAAAGCCACAGGAAAAATATTAATTTTTAGCAGTTTCCAAGTGCCAGATAGTTTAAATGATTCTAAGAATTTGTCATTTTGTGCTATGTGATGCTAAGGGGTGCAAAAAAATAAAGTAAGCTAACAGTTGATGAATCGTATTTAAGCGGAGCTCTCGCGCGCGAAGTGCGCGCAGCGGAGCACCATGGGTAACAAAATTTGGTAAACTATCCATCCGAGAAAATTTGGTTATGACGTAGAGTACGCCCGCACACCCTTACACACACTTCATGTAAGCCGATGTCAAATCTCACAATAGATCTTGCACAACTTGACACTAGCCTGTCAGTTATGTTACCCATCCGTATGAGTATGATTAGATTAACAGCTGTCAAAATCAGACATCCGCTAACAATTATCACATGACCATCTCGCGGGCCCAGATGAAAGACTAGTCGTTTTGCCCTACATATAAGCTGATATAGTATGTCACACCTACTGATTCAACATAAAAACGAAACTGCGCCGGGCAGGGCTGTCAGTCGGCGGCCAGTAGTTTTAAGTTACATCCGCAAGACAAATTAATGTCAATTGACAGCTGTCAAAATGGGACATGTGCAGACCACTATCAGAAAACTCGATCTGGCATTTCGCCCCCACTACAAGCCTGACTGAATTGTCTTACTCACACTCGAAGTCGACAGTCCGTTAATTCGAGTATTCGCCATTCTAATGAAGGTTAATTGACAGCTGTCAAACTAGAGCATCCACTGACCATCACCACTTGACTGTATCGCGGGGTCATTTTTCTACCCGTTGAGGTCACGTGTTTTTTAAAGTTTTCCGCTGATATTTTATTTGATCACAGGTTCAATTCTGTGTTTTGAGCTGAGCCCCATAGCTTGAAGGATCTATCTGGCAGTCACGTGACCGTACACCGACCACCCGACCTTCCGTCCGTCCGTCCGCACCACAGGCATACCAACGTTTAATTTCACACTTTCTGGCTAGTTTGGGAGCCTGCAACCTGGTATTGTACATCCATGTTTTGATCAGCTCTTGACAGGTGTCAAAAGAATGTATCCGCTGACCAGTATCGCCTGACCGTATCGCGGGCTCAGGTATCGACCTACTGAGTTAAAGTTTTTTATGAAGTTATCCGCTGACAAGTTGCTACTTTTCAAATGATCGCAGGCTCAAGTTCAATTTTTTTTTAATGCATATGAAATAAGTCGTGTTCATGAGCCGCACTTTAAAAATTTTGATTTCAAACTGACCTCTGACGCAAAAATTCAGCCGGCTTTTACATGCTTGACTTTTCTCACCATAGTCACGCGATGGTCACGCTCCAAGTCCAATTTCTATGCTCCGATTGGTCAAGATTTGACAAGTGAGTTCATGCGGAAACTTTATGCAGCATCTGGAAACTTGTTTACTGATAGCTGAAACTGACAGAGTTTTTTTTAACTGTCTTTTTCTACTGGATGTACAAAATGAAATACAGCTTCTATCAAGATTCTTCCGTAATTCATGGCTGGTTTGTTTATTGCGGTTTTGGTTGAGAAATGCACCGCTTGTCAAAGTCACTGGACATCCGATTTCGGATGGCATCTTTTCAAAAATGAGCTTACTCATTTGCCCTTGTTTTAGGCGTAAGAGGGTTAAAAAGTATCAAGCGATTCTGTCCTCACTTGATGGCCCTCAGGAGCTGCATCTCGACTCAGCTATCGACTGGAAAGCCTGAGCAATTATTGTCTTTGATGTTGTTGTTGTTGTTGTTGTTTTTTTTTCCGATTTCTAGATAGCTTTATTAAGAAGTAAAATCATTGCAGCCTCCGGGCCGGCTGAAATGTGACTTAAATATATGATAACTACTATAAAAACCGTAAAATATAACCTACAATAAAATACAAAAGAAGTAGCAAAACCAAAATACCAATATTTAAGACGTTAAGATTACTACTAATAATTAAAGCTGTTCGCCATAATAAAAGTGTTTTAAAACCTATTTGCCTTACAAATCGGTAGTTTAAAGTATCTCTGGCTACGGGTGCAATAAGTGGACCCGTTGCCTGGCGGCAGCAGATCATGGAGCTTGTGGCTTTGGTCCCTTAAAATTTGGTCAAATAGAGCATTACTCAAGGCCTTCCTCCTTTCGTACAGTGACGTGATGTACTAGGCGACTGAGAGCCATTGGTTCGATTTGCAAGCGAAAATGTTCAAGTTAGCTAGAGAGAAATAAAAGTGCAGCCATGTGCGGCGCATACATCCTGAAGTCGAACGTGGTTTATGCACGAGACCATGATCTGACCTACAATAGTATCAAAAGTCTTTAGACATTTTTTGATCGCAAATACAAAGAAAACCTTCAGAAGAATATTTTGTTATGATTTTGGCTGTAAAAAGGAAACTCTGGGCAATTTTCTTCCCTCGAGTTCATCTTGAAAAATAGCAAACACCGGGAAGCCGGCTTACAACATAAATAAGCTTAAGCTTATGCCCACCTGACCCATGATTTTCAGAGACACTTTACTCTCAATACTTGCCTTAGTGAACGAAAATTATTGTCTCTGTACATGTTTCACTGAATAGTGTTTATTTTGTTGATTGTTAGTAGTCCCTCTCTCAATTCTCATCGCTGCGACGGTTGTTTTCAGTCGTACATAAACATCTCGCATGCAGGAGTACTCAAAATGCCGCGCGTAAATATCACTCGCTTTTAAAGATTACTCGTAACAAAACTTTAAACAGTTTTATAAAAAAGGGAACTAAAACCTAAGCATAGCAAATTCTCTATCACGTTGAAGCATAAATGGTAACTCCATTAATGTTCATTCAAACACTTGACAGCTCGAACTGCAAATTAGTTGATGCTTGTCAAAAGTCAGAACCCGTCCAGCTGGCCGAAAAGGCGATTTTGGGAATCTTTTATCGCTTTCGCTAAAAGCCCATAATTATTACCCTGCATATCACATAGGACCAAATTTTTGTAAATGAAAAGTTCCGGCATTATGGAATTCTCTTCATCAAAACGTTTTATAATGTGGTCAATTTAATGCTATAATTTGTTGTGCAAAGGAAGCGCGTGCTTCGAACGTCCTGGATATTAAATGACTGCAAGTTGTCTTGCAAAATTGTGAAAAACTGCAGAATTATAGGTTTAAATAGGGCAAAAAAGAACAAATTCTGACCGAGGTCTGTATGATTAAAAAAACAGCGCCTCATAGTACTGTTTACCTCAGACGTGATGAAAAAATATTTAAAAGGCTGGTTTACACGCCACCAGATTTGTCGCCAAGATTTACTTGCAAAGTAACCTGGTCGAACAGAGGGGGTCCGGCCTGATTTTTTATTTTGGCCACCCTTTTAGACAAAGGAATGCAACGTGTAAACTGGCTGCCACCGAGGACCATCGTGTGTTTCATAAAATTATATTTCGGGGTTGTCCAATTATCCGTAGTCTCTCCAACGGAGTGGTTAGAGGGCTATCAATAAAATTAAAGTGGAGGGCGACTGGGTTATTTCATTTGGGAAGAATTTGTTCTTCAGGCCTAATCTAGTGTGATCGAACATGATTGCTATTTTTCGGTGAACATATAAGACTATTAACTCGACGTAAAATTTGTTTCACTCTTGGACTGTAAAATTATTTTTCTCTAAAACCACTTAGTTTACTTGTTTATTGTTTGATTTAAATTATGAATTTATTAACGGGAGCTTCGCTTTTAGCCCTGGCTAAATCTATATATTATAAATATTGGCTCCGAGGTTTGGCGGTGATACTACAAAAGAAATGTATTAATTATTAATTGCTGAGCCTCAAAATGTTTTCTTTTGGTTCTATTCCCCCAACTCTCAAATACTAAATTCCGTGAAATTCATTAATAGCGGGGATACGCTCGACCTGGCTGCTGCAAGTGAATTTACAGCCTGCCACGTAGACATTCTCGGGGGTTCGTTACGAGTTCCTGCCCCATTATTTGCGAACATGGGAAAGGAATTTATCTTTCGGTTCAGCAGATCTTAGTGGGCAGGAAAGCGTGACCAACCCCTAAGAAGGTCTGCGGGGGAGGCTACTGAATTTAGAGTCCATTATTTATAGTTTTCATACGAGGTCTCAATGGGCTATTGCATTTGATATCCGTATCCCTCCCGGTTGAGGACCTACCTTTTCTGCTTACCCCTTTTAATCTTAAAAGATTGAA